TCCAGAGTGAGTTAATCTGGATCAAACATTCAGAGTGAGTTAATCTGGATCAAACATTTAGAGTGAGTTAATCTGGATCAAACATCCAGAGTGAGTTAGTGTGGATCAAACATCCAGAGTGAGTTAATCTGGATCAAACATCCAGAGTGAGTTAATCTGGATCAAACATCCAGAGTGAGTTAATCTGGATCAGTGTTTTTTCGGGCAGGGTGACACACACTCATTGTGCACATCATGTGCATGTGAGGATTAAACATCAAAGCGTCTTTTGATTTATTATTTGTGTGTTTGTGATGTGTGGTTGAAGTGTGCAGCACAAAGAGCTGCCCCTCCCCCTTACACACACCTTCCTGTGTGTCCACACTGCACTTTCTCAGACAAGTTTCCAGTTTCAGGATCAGTTTTGTTTACAGATTCTTACAGTCAGAACGTTTCAGGACTTTTTGTTCTGCTGATGATTTTACTTTAAAGAGATTTTCTKCTTCTTCATCAATTAGCTGAAAAAAACAGAAACAAACTTCCAGAGCCGGGGATTATTTTCAGCTCAGTCAATTAGTCCATTATATGATATAAATAAATCCATATTGTTGTAGTCTGTAGCTGTAAAAGAGGAAGGTTTTATTTTAGCTGCTGCATTTGAAGCTTATCTGCTTGGGGAGGAGCAAGCGTTGGGCCTTTTGTTGTTTTGTGGTGGGACTCGTTTAAAAGCTGCTTGTTATGGAGATGAGGCCAGTTGGACCTGATGGGACGGGCTGACAGGAAGCTCCAGCTCTGGGTCTTTTAGTCCTGCAGCAGGAGGTGACTCCTGCAGAAGCACCGGGGATTTCACAGAACCTAAAGCAAACCAGAGGATTTTAATCTGTAAMCGGAGAACAACCGAGAGGTCAGTGAAGAAACCTGTTGTAGGTTTTTAGTTTTTCTGTGAAAAACTTTTATCTTTAATGTTGATGAAACAACCAAATGTTGCTTGTAGGACTTTACCAGATGTTTGTTTAAAGTGACACGTTTGAGTTAAAAAACAACAAATTATTCTAGAAATGTTTTCCAGCTGTGGCAGAAAAATATACAGAATGAAACTTTAAAAACCTGCCTGAAAGGGTCAGATAACCATGATGTCCACTCATACTGACCTGGTCCAAACCAAGACCTGGTCCAAACCAAGACCTGGTCCAAACCAAGACCTGGTCCAAACTAAGACCTGGTCCAAACTAAGACCTGGTCCAAACCAAGAC